ACAACAACAACAACAACAATAATAGTAGTAGTAGTAGTAGTAGTAGTAGTAGTAGTAGTAGTAGTAGTAGTAGTAATAATAATAATAATAATAAAGAAAGAGAAGAAGAAGAAGAAGATGAGAACTTGGAGATGGAATATTAGTGGTAAGGATTAAACAATAATAATAACAAATGTCAAGGTTAGAGGTTCCACTAATGGTATGTCAAACAAGTATAATATAAACTCTTGTTATTCAATTGGAAACCACACACAAAGGAGGTTCCAATCAGATTATAGATTATTAACATGATTATGTTAGTCATCTTATTCGATTAATGCTAATACTTGTAAATCTTGTCAAACATTCATGATTATAACTTATGTTAACAACAAATCAAGTTCCTTTCATATCTCAGGTGTCGGTTATACCATACAGTATGGGTTATGAAAGTGCCAAGCATTTGTTGTACCAAGTGTTATACAACATAAATCAAGATTAGTCATTCAACAAGCAAAGTATTAAAGAGTGAACAAGATAACAAATACAAAACATGTTAGTATCAAACATTAAAGTCCATATTAAGTTTACACTATACTTATTCTTACACCATTAGTGTAACCTTTTCACCTTGACATAATAAACTTAGTTAGACATAATGAAAGAAAGAAAAATAAATAAACAAAATAAGAACATAAATAAGATAAAAGTTAACTAAGTAAAGGAAAGGAAATGAAAGGCATAAACTTGATATTAATGAAAGCAAAGCATACACATTACAAAACATACAAAGAGAGAAAGCAAGAGCATGATCTTGATCTGGAAACCAAAATGCCTAAATGCATGGCAAATGCCTCCTTTTATAGGCCAAAATTGGGAACTATTGATTTGATGACTAATTGATGAGTGGGTGACCAACTCTTGACTTGGTGACAATCCTTATCTTCTCTTGTCTGCCCAAAATGTCATTGATAACTTCAAAATTAGAGCCACGTAAAAATATGAAAGTTGTAGGAAATTATCTCAGCTTTCTTGTGTAAAACTTCAGCTCATTTTGACTTCTAGAACTCCAGATATGGTGAAAATACTGAACAGTGCTCGGGCTGGAGGACAGATTCAGGCTTCTTTGTTGTTGCTACAATTTGGACTTGAAAATGGCCTTTTTAGATCTTGGGATCCATATGAAAGTTGTAGGCCTATGTCTTACCTTTCCATCCATATAAAGTAAACCTAAATCTGAGATCTATAGCTCTAGATATGACCCAATTACCAAACAGTGTTCCAGTTTGGATTGCACGGACATCTCTTTTTATAAGTTTAGCCATCTCTTTATCCTTTCAATTTCAGTTCTTAAATTCATCAATCAATCCTTTTATTTATGTGATAGGCCTGCATTTAAAATGAACATTTACCACAAATTAAAGGTATCTTATATTATTAGATATATTATTATAAAACATGTTTTAGTTAAGGAATTATTGATACTTCAAGTGCAAAATGATGATATAAAACCTTAATAAAAATACACTTTTAAGTATTAATCAGCTATCGTTGCTAGGATGTCTAGCATGAGGATGGTGGTCTAGCCTTTTTGTTGGCAACGTAAGTGGTTTGGCTAAGGGGGGATCTACTGGTGTAATGTTCTCCATTAAAGCAAGAGATGACGTTGAAAGGGTGTTGGGCTGTTGTTGGTCACAATGTAGAGGTTAAAGCTACTGATGTTCACGATGAGAGAGCTGGTTGAAGCTGCAGTAAAGAGGGAGAAGAACAAGGTTGGCAAACGAAAATATTGTGAAAAAGTTAATTTTTTGCTCACTTTTCACTCTGATTTCTTCATCTTTAATACTTGAAATTCACTCTTATTGGGTGTGAAAAAGGGACATCTTGTCTTTATTAGGGACAAATCTTGGCTCTTAATTCAAACGAGAAGGATTTTATCCGTTGGCTTAAAGTCATCATAATAAGTTATGAAATTTGGCTGCTAAAAGTTGATCACCTCAGCCTCTTTAGGGCGACGCTGCAACGGCTATAAAGGCAACTAGCCAACAAGAATTATGCTGAGGTGTAGTATGGTGTTAGACCATTAGAGTGATGCCTTGTTTGGTGGAGACATGAGGCATTAAATGCCCTTAAAAAGTAGTCAATTGAGTAACCTTTCAAGTTTAAAAGGTTAAAGATGATGAACAGTAGCCAGACGATAAGTCATGTGAAATCCTTTTTTTTTGTGTTTCTATGTTGGTCAAAACAATGTCGTTTTGTACCAAAACAAACTGTTTTAGTTAAAACCTATTGTTTCATTTAAATGAAACGATGTCGTTTAGATATCCTTGAGGTTTTAATTAGGGATTTTACTAAAATTCAATTCACTCCTTTGGCTTTTGGTTTATTTTAATTGTATCTCTAATTGACTTAAAACTTTTAATTTTATGCGATTTTACCCTCATCAAACTCCATTATCAACCATAAATTTTAGCGCCTTTTCATTTTGGTCATGGGTTTTGGATTTATGTAAATTGATCCTCAATTGACCATTAAACCTTTAATTCACTTTAATTTCACCCTTGTTTTCAACAAAATTGAGTCCTTAAAGTTTAGCGCATTTTTCAAAAAGGTTTTTAATTGTGAATTTCTTCAACTTAACCTTTAATTGACCTTAAACTTTGATTTTCTTGTAATTTTATCTTTATTTTCAATCAATTAACCTCGTGAAATTTGAGTTTGATATTCTAAAATTTCAATTAAGTCCCTAATAAAATTAATTTAACCTGTTAAAAGTATAATTAAATCTTTGTTCCTAATTAAATCTTTTAATTTGATCCAAATGAATTCTTAAATATAATTAAACTTTTAATTTGGCTCATGATTAAATCAAATTAGCCTATTAAAAATTAATGAAGTCTTTGGATTTAATTTTTATGTAAATTCATTTAATAATTATTTAATTTAACCTTAAATTTGTATTGTCTTTTCTGTTTTGGAGACAATGAAGCATGATTAAGCTTAAAATTTCATCTAAAACTCTAACTTGATTCTTCTACATATTTGAAATTTTTCTCAACCTGTTGTTTTGGCCAAGTTGTTAGGTTTTTTTGTTATTATTATTTTTATTAGATAATTTTTTTTATTATTATTTTTATAAAAGAAAAGGGATAAATTTGAGAAAAAGCTCGTGGGATGCAATATATAGTGGGTGTTTGGTTGTGTGGTTGCTTCTGCCTTTAAAGCAATCACAGCAACTCACTTGTTTGGTAATGCTTCAACAATAAATTTCCACCGGTAGGGCCTACTATTAATTGTGGCACGGCCACAAGTTAGAAAGAAGCAGCAAATTGCTGCTTCTTAAGCTGGAAACTCATGAACAGTGGAGCGTGCTCCACTGTTTCGGCCGGTCCGGTTCAACGTTAAAAATGCAGTGAACCGAGTTCGATCTAACAATATAAAAAAATATTTTTTTTTATTTTTAATTATGTTTTATTCAAAAAACTAGTGTTAAACATTATTCAATGACATCACATACATTAAATGGAAATCGCTTGATGATATAATATTTACAGAATTTGATCGCAATTCCAATTTTATTCTTGATTATATTTTACCTATGTTATTGCATTCTTAAAAAATTTAATGAAACAATAAAAACTATTTTATATAAAGATTATTTATTTTATGATATAATAGTAATAATTAAATCTATAATATTTAAATTAAAAATCAATATTAATATATATTTTTTAAAATTATTTTATAATTTTAATTTCAAAAGCATTATTAACCAAACATATTAAATTATTTTTTTTTCAAATCTCAATTTCAACTATAATTTTAACCAAATATCTATTTTTTTTTAAACAAACCTCAACTAAAAATAATTTTTATGAAATAATTTTTTTCATACTATAACAAGTACAGCTATTATAATACTAAACAATTATAATCTTCAAATTGCATAAAAAACTTCGCGATTCCCACTCACTTCAACAATTTAAATCCAATTTAACGTGCCTACAAGATATGCTTCGACCCGGTAAAAAACAAGTCATGGGGTGTGGAAAAAGAGAAATCTACCCTCTCGTACGCCAATTGAAACCTTAACAGATCAAAGCTCGAATGATGCCCCAAAAAATAAAAATAAAAAAGCACACTATTGCGGCTAAATATAAACAGGTCTGTTTGAACATATCATGGGTACCAACAAAAACAAACATCTGGCACATGTATTCTGTTAGCTTGGTAAACCCTACAAGAGAGAGCCTCATACATGCTCAAATTCATTCCCAATGAAACAGGCAAAAATCAACAAACATCACCAGCAAAAGTCTCACTTCTTAGTCGGAAAATATACATATATCTCTGTGATTCTAGCACGTAATCTTCTTCCAAAAAAAATTGAAGAACGAACAGTTAGGAGCTTAAACCTATACAACAGAAGAATTTTCTTGACTATTTTTGTTTCTTTCAATATGAAAGTCAACTTGAACCACTTGATTTTCTTTGTTAGGTGGAATCAATGCCTTGTTATGTCTCTTCAACATTCAGAGCTCTGGTTTCAAATGCCCTGCTGAGAGCATTAGTATCTACAGGTCAGGAAAATGGTAACAAAAGCTTGTTGAGTTGAGATTATAAGAACTGCTGATTACCATTTGGTCCTAAACTGTCAACAGCTGAACTGGAGTCAAATCCCATTTGGAAAAAGCTCTGGAGCTCATTATCTAATACAGCCTACACATATGGAAACAATTCCAAGGATAAGTTTCTGATGAGCAAATTGATTCTGCAGAGCATTTGCAAAGATCCTTCACTTACATGTGCTGGAGAAAACTGTGGATTGGAATTTAGAATGACTGGCATGCCAGGTTGAAAAATCCCATGTGAATACTGGTGCGAGTTTATCCCAGGACTGAATCCTAGAATAGCTGCATTGCCACCACGTGGATGAAGGATCTGGATGGAAGGGAAACGTATTAGACTTTATTCAAAGAAACATATATGAAAATTGTGTTGAAATTCTTTCACCTAAACCTTGCTTACATCTTTAGATTGAATCTTCTCAACATCATTGGACACTTCTGGATTTACAGTTGCTAGTTTCATTGACAAAAACTGCAATAGCAGGCAACATATCAGTGACTTATAGTCAAGTGGAAGCACAAATGGCTTCAGTAATTTTAAATTTATCATGTAGAACTCCTGGTGTTTACATCTTTCAATCAAGTATTCTCTGCAGATGTCATTCTTGTAAAAAAGAAGCTAGAGCTGATTCTCATCTATTTGATTACAGGAATCACAGATTATAAATCACTGTCCTTTATGGGCAATATATCCCCTGCACCTCAGTTAGACTACAGAAATATTAAGACCTTTTGCAGAGCCTAAAAAACATATACTTTTCATTTATTCTGCTTCCACCGGCTCTGAAGGTACATTATTGTGTTTTTCTAGAGGTTAGAGCTAAGCTCCATTTCAAACTAGCAAGCTTATGATGTGGCTAGTGAACATGATGAGCACAAATCCACATGCCAAATTCATGGACGAAAATCTCAATCTTAGAACAGCATACCTCAACCTGCTGTTGCAGTGATTGCACATAGTTGATGATCTCATCAAGCATCACCGCTTTGCCAGTAATCTAAAACAATGATCAACACCAAACTAATCAGCATCCTGTTATTTTTAAATCAAAGAAATTGTTGAAGATTCTCAAGTAATTAAGGCAGTTTCAATGATCAATACCAAACTAATCAGCATCCTGTTATTTTTAAATCAAAGAAATTGTTGAAAATTGTTGAAGATTCTCAAGTAATTAAGGTAGATTTGAAGCACATTTGTAAGTAGTAAAAACAGAAAGTCAGATATTCTTTTCTATAAATCAGAACCCAATAATAATACCTATTTATATGTAGTTAATAGTTGTCCTAATATACATCTGTAGATGTTGCATATATTTAAGAATTCATTCTAAAACAAAATGAGAAGTCAGAATTTAACAATTCTCCATATGATATCAGAGCCTAAACTAAGCATATTTTTTTTCTAAGCCTATCTCTCTCTAAATCTGGGATTTCTCATCTTCTTTTCTCATTTTTCCTGAAAATCATAATCACTTATTCTAGCAGATCTGTCCAGATCTGAAAACATGTCTAAAAACACTACAAAAAAAAACCCAACTATCAAGTGAATTCCAGAGTTTACAGTCATCCTACTGACTGAATGGAAGAAACTATCTAAAGTAATCACAGATAGTAAAAACCTTTCTCAAAGGAAAGGGAAAGATTAATCATTTGATGGATAATCCTTCCAATCCAGAAAACCCAAAGTTTACACTTTGGGATGAAAAAGACTCCATGATTATGTCATGGCCATTGAACTCTATTATGCTAGAAGTTTAGGGGCCTTATATGTTTCTGGTTACAGTAAAAGGCATATGGGATACACTAAGACAGACAATCATTGGTTGAGTGTTCATTTGTTTCACAGATTTGACACACAATATTTTCAACATATTTCAATTGACCATTTTTTTTCAATTCTAGTGCCTCGACTTTTCTAGCTAAAGATGCAAACTTGGCTTAAAGGTCATGATCTTCCCTAAGGTTGTACATACCTCTTCTAGATGTATGAGGTTGAGTTTTACTCGGTGCCTCATAAGTATCCGCGATGTCCTAATTTTGAGCATTTTCAGCTAACAAGTCTAAGTACTCCATTGCTTCATCAGGTTCTTTATCTTCATGTTAGTATCAAACATTAAAGTCCATATTAAGAAAAGTTCCATTGCACATCAATTCAACCATTTGCCTATCTTTAGGTGTTAACCCTTCATAGAAATGTGAAATCAATCTCCATGTTTTAAAACCATGATGAGGGCAAGTACTAAGCAAGTCTCGATACCTATCCCAACATTGGTAAAATGTTTCTCTTGGTTTTTGAGTGAAAGTGGTGATTTTTCTTTTGAAAGAGTTTGTTCTATGAGATGGGAAAAACTTCTTTAAAAATTGTTGTTGCATTTCATCCCAAGCACGAATGGATCCTAGTCTCAAATTTTGTAGCCATGTTTTAGCTTTATCTTTTAATGAAAAAGGAAAAAGCTTTAATCTGATGGTGTTCATGCTACAATTTAAATTATTATATGTGTTGCAAACCTCTTCAAATTCCCTTAAATGCAAGTATGGATTTTCCAATTCTAAACCATGAAAAGAAGGTAAAAGTTGAATAATGCCTGGTTTAAAATTAAAATGAGATGCATCGGGAGGAAAAACTATGCATGATGGTGCACTTGTTCTTGTGGGATTCATGTGGTCTCTATGTGTTCTACCACGGTTATTCTCATTATTCTCATTATGAAGTGATTGATTATCTTCTTCGGCCATATTTTCTGAAAATGATGAGGATACCCTACAAAGTCTACCACTTGATGTACGTGACCACACTCTCATGCACGTGTAGGAATAGAATAAAAGGAAAAAGAAAACAAAAGAAGAAGAAACAAGAGAAAAGAAACAAAGTTATATACAAGAAAAGTGAAAAGAGAAAATAAAATAAATATTCTAATTTATACAAAACTTACCTCCCCGGCAACGGCGCCAAAAACTTGACACGACTAAAAGATTGATTTCTTTTCCCAAGTGCAGGAGTGTCGAAGTAATAAATAACCCGGCAAGACCGAGGTCGAACCACAGGGAGGTTAATTGTACAAATTATAAATACAATAATACAACAATAATAATAACAACAACAACAATAATAATAATAGTAATAACAATAATAATAATAATAATAACAATAACAATAATAATAGTAGTAGTAGTACTAATAATAATAGTAATAATAATAAAGAAAAAGAAGGAGAAGAAGAAGGAGAAGAAGAAGAAGAAAATGAGAACTTTGAGATGGAATATTAATGTAATGATTAAACAATGATAATAACAAATGTCAAGGTTAGAGGTTTCACTAATGGTATGTCAAACAAGTATAGTGTAAACTCTTATTACTCAATTAGAAACCACACATAAAGGAGGTTCCAATCTGATTATAGATTATTAACATGATTACATTAGTCATCTTATTCGATTAATGCTAATACTTGTAAATCTCGTCAAGCATTCATGATTATAACTTATGTAAACAACAAATCAAGTTCCTTTCATAGCTTAGGTGTCGGTTATACCATACAGTATGGGCTATGAAAGTGCCAAGCATTTGTTGTACCAAGTGTTATACAATATAAATCAAGATTAGTCATTTAACAAGCAAAGTATTAAAGAGTGAACAAGATAACAAATACAAAACATGTTAGTATCAAACATTAAAGTCCATATTAAGTTTACACTATACTTATTCTTACACCATTAGTGTACCCTTTTCACCTTGACATAATAAACTTAGCTAGACATAATGAAAGAAAGAAAAATAAATAAACAAAATAAAAATATAAATAAGATAAGAGTTAACTAAGTAAAGGAAAGGAAATGAAAGGCATAAACTTGATATTAATGAAAGCAAAGCATAAACATTACAAAAAATACAAAGAGAGAAAGGAAGAGCATGATCTTGATCTGAAAACCAAGAGGCCTAAATGCATGGCAAATGCCTCCTTTTATAGGCCAAAATTGGGAACTATTGATTTGATGACTAATTGATGAGTGGGTGGCCAACTCTTGACTTGGTGACAATCTTTATCTTCTCTTGTCTACCCAAAACGTTATTGATAACATAAAAATTGGAGCCACTTGAAATACATGAAAGTTCTAGGAAATTGTCTCAGCTTTCTTGTGTAAACAATTTAGCTCATTTGGACTTCTAGAACTCCAGATATGGTCAAAATACTGAACAGTGCTCGGGCTGGAGGACAGCTTCGGGCTTCTTTGTTGTTACAATAATTTGGACTTGAAAATGACCTTTTTAGATCTTGGGCTCCATATGAAAGTTGTAGGCCTATGTCTTACCTTTCCATCCATATAAATTAGACCTAAATCTGAGATCTATAGCTCTAGATATGACCCAATTATCGAACAGTGTTCCGGTTTGGATTGCACCGACATCTCTTTTCTAATTTTGGTTATCTTTTTTGCCCTTACAATTTGAGTTCTTAAAGTCATCAATCAATCCTTTCATTTATGTGATAGGCCTGCATTTAAAATGGACATTTACCACAAATTAAAGGTATCTTATATTATTAGATATATTATTATAAAACATGCTTTAGTTAAGGAGTTATTGATACTTCAAGTGCAAAATGATGATATAAAACCATGATAAAAATGCATTTTTAAGTACTAATCATCCAGCCTTGCCTTGTTTTAAGGAATATCTCCATGAACAAGCCTACGCTTTAAACAGTTCCCAAAGGGCAAACACAACCCATACTCGCAAACATACAACTCTGTGATTAGTACTTAAAAGTGCATTTTTATCATGGTTTTATATCATCATTTTGCACTTGAAGTATCAATAACTCCTTAACTAAAGCATGTTTTATAATAATATATCTAATAATATAAGATACCTTTAATTTGTGGTAAATGTTCATTTTAAATGCAGGCCTATCACATAAATGAAAGGATTGATTGATGACTTTAAGAACTTAAATTGCAAGGATAAAGAGATGGTCAAACTTAGAAAAGAGATGTCGGTGCAATCCACACCGGAACATTGTTCGGTAATTGGGTCATATCTGGAGCTATAGATCTCAGATTTAGGTCCAATTTATATGGATGGAAAGGTAAGACATAGGTCTATAACTTTCATATGGAGCTCAAGATCTAAAAAGGCCATTTTCAAGTCCAAATTGTAGCAACAACAAAGAAGCCCGAATCTGTCTTCCAGCCCGAGCACTGTTCAGTATTTTGGCCATATCTGGAGTTCTAGAAGTCCAAATGAGCTAAAGTTTTTACACAAGAAAGCTGAGACAATTGCCTACAACTTTCATGTTTTCAACTGGCTCCAATTTTGACGTTATCAATGACGTTTTGGGCAGACAAGAGAAGATAAGGATTGTCACTAAGTCAAAAGTTGGCCACCCACTTATCAATTAGTCATCAAATCAATAGTTCCTAATTTTGGCCTATAAAAGGAGGCATTTGCCATGCATTTAAGCATATTGGTTTCTAGATCAAGATCATGCTCTTCCTTTCTCTCTTTGTATTTTTTGTATTGCTTATGCTTTGCTTTCATTAATATTAAGTTTATGTCTTTCAATTCCTTTTCTTTGCTTTGTTAACTCTTATCTTATTTATGTTCTTATTTTGTTTATTTATTTTTCTTTCTTTCATTATGTCTAGCTAAGTTTATTATGTCAAGGTGAAAAGGTTACACTAATGATGTAAGAATAAGTATAGTGTAAACTTAATATGGCCTTTAATGTTTGATACTAACATATTTTGTATTTGTTATCTTGTTCTCTCTTTAATACTTTGCTTGTTAAATGATTAATCTTGATGTATGTTGTATAACACTTGGTACAACAAATGCTTGACACTTGCATAGCCCATACTGTATGGTATAACCGACACCTGAGCTATGAAAGGAACTTGATTTGTTGTTAACATAAGTTATAATCATGAATGTTTGACGAGATTTACAAGTATTAGCATTAATCGAATAAGATGACTAATGTAATCATGTTAACAATATATAATCTAATTGGAACCTCCTTTGTGTGTG